CTCTCTCTCTCTCTCTCTCTCTCTCTCTCTTCCTCTCCCCCCCTCTCTACCCTCTCTTTCACTAAACCGTCGTTCCCTTCGATTATCCAGTAATTGTGCGCGCTGCATATTTCAGCTATCCAATCGCTCTTTCTGCATCCTGCCCGGAGATTTGATATAAACGCGCGAGACAGACTTACTTGACCTGTCTTTACTTTGTTTCCTATTTCTTTCCTTCAACCCATACGCCCTAAAGGTTGAACATCATATTACCAGCGATTGAATATTTCCATTTCCCGGAAATAAGCAAGCTGGAGCAAGCGGAAGCGGCGTTTATTTTATTCGGATACTCGGGAAAACCTGCATTATATGTAAACGTAGCTTTCAGCGTTCGGGAACGGATTATAGAAGCTCGCGTACGCTGCTTCTTAATCCGGGGATTTCGAATGAAATATTTGGTAGATGCTATCGGGCAGTGACGCGACCGTTCGCTCCGGCGTGCATTTAATCCCGGTACGAGCATGGTCTCGAATCGATTCGAAATCTAGGTCGAATTCGGCTTAGTGGAATTGATTTCTCCGGTTTCTCGGTTGCGAACAATGTATACGTCGTGGGGGGTTTAGACCGGCTTCGCGAATCAGGTCGTTCTGCGCCCGCTTCGACGAGACAAAAGATAAAATTCTATCCGCGGCGCTTACCAACCAACAAATCGAATAATCGTCTCAACATCGAGTTTAATCCACGGCGCAAATCCTGACCGGAGCCACCGTTGGCCTCCAAGCACCTCCTCTGTGCGCACACAACAGGACTAACGAATTGATTTTTAGAGATAAAGGTGATGTAGGTAATGCACTTCTCTCTTTCTGTCTGTTAGGAAGTGAACAACTTGCCCCGACGTCTATTCGCGTCTTCTCCGCCAAATATCGACGATGCTCGTCCGAGTGCCGCGATAAAGTCGCCAACTGAATTCGCGAATGAACCTCGATGGCGCTTTTAAGTCGCAATCTTCAACTTTGTTCGTTAAGCCCCCCCTACCTGTCTTCTTCCTTTACGTAAGATTTTAACTAACTGTCACTTAGACGAGACGCAATTGCCGCGTGATTTCTTGTCGGTGGACTTATCAGCGATCGAGCGAACGAAAGACAATATAAGTTAGCCGAGCTGAAATTAATCAGCGCTTGACCGCGCGTCTCTCGGCGTTGGCCGACGCGCGTTCTCAAGGCGTCGCAAGAACGCCGTTGCACCGCAACACTAACGAATAGATCCCGCTTTCGTTTCAGGGTGCAGCGTGAAATTTGCGCTTGGTCAGCAGGGCCCGGTATTCGTCCTGGAACCGCCTAGCACTCTGGTCTTTTCAAACACCACGGGTTCGCAATTGGGCTGCTCCGCGCACGGCAGCCCGACGCCGCACGTCACGTGGATTACCAGTCCAGATCAGAGATCGGTTACGGCAGTGCCGGGACTCAGGTAAATCACGCTTCGTAAATCACGCTCCCTCCCGAATCGCGTTTGCGTCGGGTCACTTTTACGTAAATCCGCGAAGACGTTATTCGCTCGAATAACGCCGAATAATGCTCGAGTAACGCCGCAAGCGTGCGTGCACGCTCGCTCGCTCATGTCGGAGAGTTGGAACTTTGCGCGAAATATCCGCGTAAAATGTCGCCGCGTCAGTCGCGCCTCTTTCGTTCGCCTTGACGGAATCGCTCTGGCATTTTTTTCCAGGCAACTTCTGGGCAACGGGACGTTGTACTTCCCGCCGTTCTTAGCTCAAGACTTTCGAGCCGAGGTGCACAACGCCCGATACCGATGTCGCGCGACCAGCTCCGTTGGGACGGTGCTTTCTCGCGAGGTCACCCTTCGCGCTGGTAAGTTACTTGACACGTCTTACCGCTTTCGAAAGTGAAAGCATAGTCTTGTAGCGCGAGAACCTATACTAGCAGATTTTAGGGACTTTAAAACGTATTTTCTGTAAGATGTGATATTATGCGACCGCGAGGTGTCTTCAGAAGCCAAGAAGTGCTCGGAAGATTCACTTTTGCTTCGTGCAAAACATTTTAGCTTTTGTTCTCACCAAGTTTTCATTAAGTTATCACTTCGGGCAGCTTACAGATGGGATTAAAAAGAAAGGAATAAATAAAACGAACTTGAACGAAGCTGGCGCAAATCGACAGGCCGCTGATACTCGCGATAATTTATCATCATTTATCGGAGAGACGTTCATCGTCTTTGTCTTTTTCACGCGGGAGTCGTCGCAATAACCGCCTGGAGAGACCGAACATCCCATTACGTCAGAGTGCTAGCCGGCGGAGCCAACACCTCGCATTTTCAACCGAGGGGCTTCATGCCATCCGAGTAAATACCGAAGGGGAAACGGTTGAAAGCCGTTAAATTGTATCGGAGGAAGTTCGATTCTCGAATACCTGGGCGGGCCTTTGCCGCACTCGAAGACCAAAGGAGGGACAAAACTTTATCTGGCCGGCGCTACGTGAGCCATCATTTAAATGGCTGATTTTAAACCGGTCATTACTACTGGCGGCCGCGCTGAATTCGCCAACGTCCGCTACACGCCGCTCTGCACGATTGCAATTGGGAAGGAATCCTTCTTTCGTTTTTTCGTTTACTCAAATAGTTCAATGGAGGTAATACCTCGCGAAGGTCTGACGTAACAACGGCATTTACATCTCGAGAGATTATCCTTAGTTATTAGCGATATTGGACGTACCTTCCTTCAAGCGCCATAAAATTAAATGAGAGCAAAAATCGGGAATATATCTTCCGGGTGAAACGCGCCAAGTAGGTTCTCGAGTCTAAGGAGGAGGATCACCGGGACGAGAGTTGCGAAAAAGACAAATCTGGAGGAAAATTTTGAGAAAATTGAATCTAGTAATTTTAGCGCAATGTTATTTGCTCTCGTCATCTAATCGAAAGAAGCTTGTGCCTCGCGCAGAGTTTCTCAGATATTCTCGCAATGGTAACGTCAGATCGGACAAATATAACCGCGAAATGATAACGGAGATTTATAACATCAAGAGAAAGAGAGAGTGACGTAGTGAGTAAAACATAAAGCAAACAACACGCTTGTTCGCTTTTTAGCCGTCGCATGTAACCTTTTAAATGGGTAAACATTGATCGGTTTCGCGAAGCTCTGAGCTTACGCTGCACTTAGGTTGCTTGCTTTCTCAACGATATTTTCATGACGCGTTGCCAGCCGCGCGGGAAGAAGCGAGGAAGACATCGATTTTGCGGGAATAACTGCCGCTATAAATCACGAGAAGTTTAGCGTCAAGAACCTCGTCGTCCGTTACGCTCTTAGAACAATAGGCGAAGTCGACGTTGCGGGTGTCGTGTGGGACGTGAAAAGGGATCTCTCCTCACGAGGCATCGACGATCTTTTAGACGCTTCCGCGTGTTAAACAACGCGCGTTTTATCGCGTATTTCAATACACTTTGTACCCGGCCGCGTAACAAAACTGGCGTGTTTGTCGTATTTCGCGGCGCACACAAATTCGAAGAAATTGCGAGAAATCCAAATACTCTTTGATGCCAGCCCAAAGACTGGCTGTCTCTCCTTACAAAGCCGCCTCACGTGAAGCGCGACGGAATGCGCCCCAGCCGTCGGGAAACTTTGAGCGAAAAGTTTTTCAGGGATGATTCGACTAAAACGGGAAGAAAAATTCGCTTCGCCGCTAGTGGTTTCCGAAACTTTCCCCCAAAGTCACTGGACGATGAAAGAACGTCCAATCGATACCTCTTTGCCGCACCGCCCTCGTCTCGCGCGGATCGCCTGCCGATGTTACCCCGCTATAGAAACCTTCTTCTTCTTCTACTTCTTCTATCTCATCTTGCCAGCGCTTTCGTTAAAAGTTCACAGTCCGCCTCGAAGTATAGGCATAAATAATCAAGCTATTCTGCTCGCGCTTTCCGGAGAAAACAAGTTTAATATGGTCCCAAGGTGACGTACGACGTTGGTTCGAACATAAATCGAGAATGTTTTCACGGCGAATCTTACATTTCCCGAGCAACACGAATTGATAAATCCAAAGAAAAGCGACATTACTTTATTATTGGTGTGTCTATTTCTTTCGTCCCATTACCCTAATTATTATTAGAGTAATGGATTAAGGAATAAACTAGAATAAAATTCGATTATCATTAGGTGATAAAGATAGAAAACGTATCACTGCGCGAAGAGAATTTTATAGTAAGAATTGCTATTTTAAAATTGACTGACTTTTCACAATAATTTATTATTGATTTTATGGAAACTACAATATGCCATTAAAAAATTTGCACGTTTCTAGCGAAATTTTATCATATTCTTTAGTTCAAGATCGACCTTATTAACAGTCTATTCTTGCGCAACTAGAAACATAGTAGAATCGAAAAGAATTTATATGAAAACGAGGAAAACTATAATATTCCCTCCATAGAATTTAATAGCGCGTATAGTTAAATAAATAAATTAAAGTCTTTGGGTAAGCGCAGAAATCACACTGAACGAAATGTTTCCTTCGGACATAATATGACGAAAAATTACAGACCACATATGTAATTCCTTATATTCGGCGACTTTGAAAGGATGACGACGAGAGCATGCAACAAATATGCGTTCGAGAGTCAACTATTCGTAAGTAACTACACGACACGCGCTCATTAATGCGACGTGCAAGTTCGAGATTATCTAAGATCCCATCCCCCTTCCCCCTATCCTCTCACTTTATTCCCTTCTGTACGCGGAAACATCGGCCAAGGAGAACCTTCGTTTCAGCGGCGCTGCCTCTGAAACGAGCAAGCCGAAAAGGAACGGTTCACTTATCTAAAATGACATCGGCCGTCCCCACGTGCTCGCCAAAGGACTTATGCTCCAAGAGAGAGTCATTGTCGAAATCCCCTTTTGTAAGGACCGCGTTTTCCAACGAGCTCGGGAATTCGGTACCGACGTGTCCAGCTTTCGCTCTTCGGCGAGAAGAACACTCCCAGGGGTGGGATCTAACGGCGAAGGGAATATTCATTATCCGACGTTACACCCGCGCCGGGCGACGCGGAGAATAATGCCTGAAGAGGTGTCGCGTCTTAAAAATTTAAAAGGGGATGTATCGCGCGGGCTTAACCTTTAGCGGGAGAATAATTGTCGGCCGGATGACGCTCGCCGTGCCGCTCGCTTAATCTTAATTTCTTCCCTCCTCTTTTTTCCCTTCCAAGTGATTTCATTACGGCAGGCGCACGAGAAATGTGTATAACGACCATGGTGCGCTCTTATATTTCACATGCTCGGCATTCTCCCATGATTTTTCCTGTAGAAAAATCGCCCCGCAGGCATTTAACATCGAAAAATAAAGCATCTTGATGAATTCTACCTCATAAGCACGGATAAACAACGAAGCCTCATCTTTATGCAACAAATGTAAATCGAGACTTAAATTTTGAAAAAACTGAACGTCCATATCAGGCACGGTTTTACGCTGCAGTCTCATTGACTCGCAACAAATTAAAATGAGTGAGAAGAACTCTAAGCGAGAAGAAAATAAAAGATGCAACAGACTGCGTAGGGAAGCGCACAGGTGTGCGTACAGATCGGACAAGCTCGCGCGTGCTGAATCATATCTTACACCTTGATCCCTTGAAATTTGTGTACTGGATATTTATTCGCTCGTGTGTTTCGCGACGAAACCGTATTTCTCCATACACGCGTCGACTATATGGATGCTATAGGAAAGAATTATTGCGCACCGCACGGTGAGAGATCACCCGTTTCCGCAGACGGACGATTCTCTAGCGTACCGCCCTTATTCTTCTTTATTTTCTCCATTTTATCAACGGAGGTGCGCGACCAGGAAAAGAACGTAACCGCATTAGCAACCCGCCACTAGTCCCCGAGAAATGGTCCCGAGCTGAAAAAAGATCCACCCTTTCGGACGACAAATGTTTATATATGTGTAATTCCAGCAAAACGCTCGACAACTTTAATCACGCGCAGGACGCGTTTTTGGTTTCGAGAAGAACACTCGGAAGAAGTGTGTCCGGTGCGATAACGAGATACGAGAGAATTTGCGGCGGAATAACGGAGTGTAATTAAAGAATCGTTATGGTGTATCTCTAGTCTATAAATTCGCACACACGCGCACGCACACAATAATACTCTCGACATTAAGTGCAGCTTGCAGCACGGTAAACAATTTTTCGAGCAAAGCCTTCCTGACTTTCCTTAATTTCTCTCGCGATTCGCGTGAAATTGTCTGTATATATTTTTCACGGATCTCTCCGAGACTAGTAGCGACATAAGTGGCAATACATCCACCGTCTCTGCGAAAATCCATCTCTGGGGGAAACTCGGTTTTAAAAACCCACCGGCTCACTATAGGATCCCCGTGCAAGCATAAGTTTCGGAAAACATGCCTGTGGCAGCAGCGACGGCGGCGGCGATGCATCGATACGCCACGGTGCACGTGCATTTTCACGCTGCATCAGCGTGTAATAGGCGGCGAGCGCGATGGCATCAGAGATCCGGCATGAGGGATCACACAAGGGGTACGGGATCGGGCGAACCCGCCGAGAAGAGAGGAGCAAAGTTAATTCCAACGATTTCTAGGAATTCGTGGAAATATCGTTGCCCGCCTCGCTGGAGATTCGCGCATATTGGCTTTATTTGCACATTTCGTTTCACCCCGCTCGCGCGTCCTACCCCCCGCGCTCCCCCTCTCGCCGGCGCATCTCAATTTTATCGTCACGTACGTGGCCCTCGTACTGCTCTTCCCTAACTCCCCTCGCCGCTGTCGTCCCGTCTCCGATTCACGAACCGGCATCTGTAAGGGGGTGGAGGATGCCTGGCGTCGGGACGCAAACCGAGGAGCTCCCAATTTCCGACGCCCAGACGACGAAAAGAATGGAACGACTCCCCCGACCCGAACACGCCGCGCGCGCGGTAGAGTCCCTTCGTCTCGCAATCCTCTCCTCGGGCTTTCCTCGTTTCGCGTCTTCTCCTCGACGTACATCGCCCTCCCGGCACCCTCGCACGCGCGTTCGTCGCGCTTTTTAACCATCCCGTCCCGCGTTGCCTCGCCGCCCTACACACTCGCGTGCTATCGAGGAAATCGCGCGCGCGTTACAGCGACACGAATGTTTACGGACGAATCTCGTCGATATTTGAGAAACGTGAATTTTTCAGCGAACTTAGCTCTCTGGGGATATGTACTAATCCGTACGTTCCGGATTAGTACATATATGCGACTCTGTGTGTATGTGCATAAATGTCTGATGCAAGAGTGTTTCTCACAATCGTACAATAACACGAGATACGTCCAATCTGTCAAAGCGTAATCGAAAATGTCCCTCGTGAACATCGTATCGTAATATGCGGTACACATTGTCGTATTAAAACCGATAGGACGTGCATTCCTATTAGAGAGCAGATGATGTTTCTAGATTAGATCCGATCTCTAAAATCGGTTCGACGAGGAAGTGACACGTTTCAAGATAAGCAGGCGACGTTTCGTGTAATAGGATTATGAGTTTACTACATTCGCTTAGTGATTACATGGTTAATGTAACTAAAGATGCAAATGCAGGAAATTAATCGCACACTTTGTGCCAACATTCATTACAGTAGAATGTGTGAGTAGGATATGTGTACATGTGCAAGCAGGTGTGTCTCTAGAGGATGAGGATACGCGACCTAAGCGCTGTTCCCGGCATCGCTGTTACATATTGATGTATGAGTGTGTGCTTAGATTGAGAGTGATTAGGTTTAGAGAGAGAGAGGACGAGAGAGGGCGCGACGGGGTGACAAGGAGAGACAGAGAGTTTGCTTGATACCTTCCCATCTCGTGTCTTAATCGCGAATCAGATATGTTACATCGCAAATAAAACAATTATGTGATAGGATTGATATTATTTGTGATAAAAAATCGTATCCTACACCGAAAAAGAAATATTTGAATGTTTATTTGCGGAATATAAAGTTTATTCGCGAAAAATAAACTTTATTTCATAGAAACACAGATTTTTATTCCACAAATAAATTTTCTAGTATTTTTTTGCAGCGTATATTTTCGTCGGATTTTATTTTCAATAAAATATCTCGGAAGGAGTATCTTGATATATTCTTTATTGTTATACTATACGCTTGGTTGTCGGTTAATTTATGTCTTACTTGGATAATTCCACGGATTAATACAATTGATTATTTGACGTCAAACTTCGAGCGAAAATAAATTCAATGCGTTGTAACGGAATAAATGGAGTGAGTCTCGCGTTACAATACGGCCATTGTCCGTGGACTTGGAATAAGTTTGATCGTCCATTATGCATGCTTTTACTTTCCTGTGTCTTATTTTCCACTTTCCGCGCCTGTGGTAACTTCTTAATAATCATCCATCTTCCGCTTTCGACCCTACGTCATTTCGTTCTGCACACGACGCTTTAGTTTCCTACCCACCTTTTTCTTCCTCCCGACTTTCTTTTATATACGACGTGAATACATTAAATAAAATACGGCCAATTTTCTGATTTATTAACATTACAGAGCGTACACAATGTGAGCACGCCGTATATCCCTCCTCATTCATAGTTTATGCCAGATTAGCAGATGTTGAAAAATTATGTTTCATCAACATTAAGATATGTTATATTATATTGTATAATATATTTGTAACAAGATAACCTGTTACAAAATTTAACATTGAGTCGCGCAAAATTCGACAGAGTGTCGTGTACTTATTGATTTTCGTGTATATTTTCAGGAGGTCACAACGTTCCAAGTTTTTTTGTATTTTCATAACATTGCATTAACATAACTGCATTAGTAAATGCGACTACAAAGTCATATATATATATATATATAAATAAATTAAACAGGGAAAAGAACAAATGATTTCATTTGATGTCAAACTACCAATTTCTGCGAAATATATATATATATATATGTGTGTGTGTGTGTGTGTGTGTGTGTGTGTGTGTGTGTGTGTGTGTGTGTGTGTGTGTGTATATACATACACACAAACATTTCATACCCTAGGTAAAGTCGAAAATTGACAGTTTGACATCGAATGAGGCCATTGTTCGCTTGCCTGCTCAATTTTACGACAATACCTTTGTATTTTCGATTTTCGATTTTGCGCGTTTTCTCTTGGAGACGGGCCATAAGAGTGACATTACGGAATACGCGCGTAAAATATCTGACGGCCCAGTTGAACGAGATTAAACCGCATTACTTCTCACTTTGATGACTTTGTGAATTAACCGCCGGCGCGTAATCGAGTTAGCTAACAAAATATAGTTTATTTGAAGTTGAACTTTGTAAAGCACGGAACGTAAATTTTCCCTTTGCGGCGAGCGTAATTGGCTCGTGAAATCAAATGCTGATTATCGTAAATTCGTATGTACTCACAGTATTGACGGTGCCTGGATACGATGTCAGGGTGAACAGACAACCCGTCATGGAAGGATGCAACGCGGTGTTGTCCTGCACTGCTCGTGAAGATGTCAAGGAGCATCTCACCGTAACCTCGTGGTTCCGCGACGAAGCCATCCTCCTACCTGGGAACACAGACACCGGTGAGACAGAAAATTCGCTATGCTTCTCTCCTCTTTAATCTAAAACGTGTGTGTTTCCGATGTTAAATCCCCCGAAATCAGTTTTCGCCTGTACATCGGCAACGCATTCAGCTGCCATGTATCGTTCACATATCGTTAATTTTCTATTTTAAATATTATTGCGCGCAACACGAACCCTCGCGCTAATTCCGCCTATTCACGGTAATCCATCGATTTTATCGCGCCGATAACGCGAACGGATATACAGCTTACGTGCCGAAATTACGAGCACAAACGTGTCAATGCACATCCGGTGCGATTAAAGCAAACGCAAAAAATGAAAAAGGAATATCATAAAATATGATCGAGGCAAATGCGCGTTTACAAACGAGCAGGTAGAAATGCGGATTCGAAACGCCGATACAAAGCACAATCTATGATCCATCGTGCGGCGAATTTTGACAGCGTAAGATCGCGCGCTATTCCGGTGGATCGGTTTATCGCGTTTTGCTTAAATTATCAATAAATCTCACGCCTCGCGAGGAACTCGCCGCAAAAAAGGATTAATGCAATTACGGCCACGAGGCGGATGGTAGTATACAGAAAGCGCAAAATGCTTGATCTCGCGAATGAACATCCGGCACGCGAGCGCGCGCACAGATTTACGCGCGAGCGTACACACATGCACGTACATAGCCGGGCAACACACGTACGTGCGCTAACTCGGCGGTTTAGATCGTCCTGTACACGCTCAAGCATTCATGTCCCATACATATTTATGCCGCTCGGTTGCACGTAACCGGTACCGGTGTGCGCGTAACTGTACGTACGCGTGTGCCGTTGGAATATCATGGGAAGCATCGCGTCATGTCGGAGCTTGATACGTTTGTTTCGTAACTAGGCGGGTAACATTGTGTCGTAGGAAAGCACCTGCACATCGAGGTGCTTTACGTGTCTCTCGATGCCGCACGCCGACGATGACGACGCCGACGTCCGTACGCCAGCACCCTGCACGGTTATCGCATACACGACGTTCGCGGACGCGCGCGATGCCGCAAGAAGATGCCACCGGGCATCCGTATCGTACCCCAAGACAACGTGTCGACGATGACACCTGTCAAACGACGCGTCGTGCCGATATCGGCAAGAGTGGAGACAAACGAAACGCCGAATGCGCGATATATACTGAGAAAAAGAAAATATTTATTTATTCTAAATGTAAAGTTTATTTCTGTAAATACATTTGATATCCTACAAATAAATTTCTAAAAATCTAATTTTTCTCAGTACATTGAGAAAAAATATGTGAAATCTATTTGTGAGATATATAAAGTTTATTTCTGTAAATAATTTTTATATCCTACATGAATAAATTTTCAAAAGATTTTTCTCAATATACTGAAATTTATTTGTAAGATATAAAGTTTATTTCTGTGAAATAAAGTTTATTTCCGTAAAATGAAATTTGTTGAAATTGTTTCTGTAAGTATAAATTTTATATCCTATAAATAAATTTGCTAAATATTTTTTTCAGTGCGTATTTCTGTTTCTCACTGTAAGAAAAAAAATTTTTTAATAAAAAAATATTTATTCGGTAGGTACATAACATATTTTATATAATTTATATTATTATAACATATATATTATAACATGTATATATATATATGTATATATATGTATATATATATATATATGTGTGTGTGCGTGCGCGCGCGCGCGCGCGTGTGTGTGTGTGTGTGTGTGTAAGAAAAATGTTTTCTAAATGTAAAAATATTTATTGAGATACAAAGTATTATAATTACATAATATATATATTATAATATGTATATATATATATATATATATATATATTTATTGAGATACTTATTTGAGATATTTATTGAGATACAAAGTATTATAATTACATAATATATATATTATAATATGTATATATATATATATATATATATATATATATATACATATTATAATATATATATTATGTAATTATAATACTTTGTATCTCAATAAATATTTTTACATTTAGAAAACATTTTTTTTTCAAATGAGAAAATATACATTTTCTTAAAAATGTAACTATTTAAACAAAAGAATTTAGAGTTAAGTAAATATGTTATTAATATCCACCGAATAAATATTTATTTTTTAGATATTTTTTCTCTCACGTGAAAAAATATCACGCGAAGAAATAGCTCAATATCAGCTAAATTTTAATGACTACTAACTCGAACTTAATTAAAAGATTAATCGCTTTATTCATTTCCTTCATTTCTAAAATTCATTTCCTATAAGATACTAATTTATTAACTGAAATTAAAATCGTATATCTGTTCGAATAGCAAAGAAACTAAAAGTTATTTCTAAATATATTATATGATTGAATCTCATTTAACTCTGCAGAAAATCAATCTTATTTGCTCGTTTCACCATCGCGCGCATTAATTAATCAATTTTCTTTCATTAATACCTGAATAATTACTGTGGCAGAGTCTACACCAGATTCATCGGAAGCGTGGTAATTTTCCCTGTCCAATAGTTCTTGTTTCAAGTCGCTACGACGTCTACAAGTGGAATTATTGACGTGTGTATCGATCCGCGTTTTCGATCGTCAGCGTAATTGTCGCAGTGTGTAGTAAGCCTCGCGACGCGACGCGTGCACGGCCCAGGAAGTCACTTTGGGCTGCGTGCGGTACGCGCTGGTATGTGAGCTATGCTCGTTACCCCCACTCCGCGGCTACCCCCCCTCTCCTGAGATAAAGTAATCTATCCCGGCACTACGGCCGCGCGGCCATTCACCTCACTTTAGAACGTGGCATGAGGAATTTTTCCATGTACACGATTTTCGAGTCCAAATTCGATGTCAATGCCGCGGCTTTAAATGTTTTATTCAAGTTAGTTTTTTTACAAAACAGAATTTTTCTATACAATTTAAATTCTACCTGTACATAAATATTTAAATTCGGACACTGAATAATTAACGGATACGTACTAGGTGCGCAACTAAGTTTCCGGGTTTTTTTGATCAATGAAAAATA